CACTCACACGTGCGTGAGAGTTTGATGTAGCTAAAAAAGCCCCTGTAGGTTGTACAGGTTGTAGTACAAGTCCTGTACTAGCCAGTCTCACTGGGGTCCTGTTGGCACAGAGTTCATGTCTGGTGAACTAAGACCTGTCCCTTTCTGGCTCTCTTCCAAAATTCTTTTGTCCCTCCTGAGAAAGGCCTTTGAATCCTGAATGCCTTGAGTATGTTTTTTTTCTAAAAATAGAATAAACTTTTTTTTAAAGTTGTGCTGTTACAGTTATATTATGCAAGCGGCAACAGTAAATTTTGTTATCAGGTTTTCAATGGCAGTGGCAGGCACACATATGTCAGGTGGAATTGTTGGCAGTTATAGATCTAGTTTGAACCTCTTTAAATTTATTTATTAATTATTTTTTTTTGGGTTGTGTGTGTGTGTCCCCAAAAGCTGTATTGTCTTCAGATTGTCAGAAAACTGTTGGCTGGCAGTGGCTGTATTGTTTAAATGTTCTGCTGCCTGCTGAAATTTTGCAATGAATTTACAATGGTTTTTTTCTTCCTTCTTGTGTGTCTCTCTCCAGCTTCTATGCAGACTTTGGGCCTGTGAACCTGGGGCTGTTGTACCGCTACTGCTGCAAGGTCAACAAGAAACTCAAGTCGTTCTCCCTGGCCAAAAAACGCATCGTGCACTACACCAGCTTTGATGCTCGCAAGCGTGCCAATGCGGCTTTCATGATTTCAGCTTATGCTGTGAGTGAGATTGTCGCAAATTATGTCGGATGTTTTTTAATTCTATAATGAATGGGGACCTGGATTTTTAAAAAATAAATCTTTTTTAGGAGTGTGGGGAGCAGCAATCTTGTTGTGGCTGCACAAGTTAGTGTGATGAAATCAATTTTATGAATGGTTTAACCCTATCCGTACGCCCTGAGGTCATTTTGTACCTCCGGGGTTGTATTCTTCACATTTTAGAATATTTCTAGTGCGAAGATTTCTTTTAGACTTTCAGTGTTTCTCAAAAAATCATTTTGACAGACTGCTAGGCAAAGCGTACGGATCGGATTAACGACTAAATTTCCTCTTTGGAAAGTGGTGGCACAGAGTTCCCCACGTCGTATGGATACAATAGTAAAACGTGATGTACGGATAGGGTTAATGAGTATGATAAGGCAATGTTATTTTTAATGCATGGGTCACACAGATGTATGAAAACACAGAGACGGATGTACTTAATGTATTTTCTTTTCTATTCTTTCTTTTAAAATCTTTTTTTTTGGTGTGGTATCTTTTTTCATGTATGCAAGATTTCTTTCTGTCAAGACTTGGTAAATAAACTATAGGTTTTGTGAGGGAAGCAGCTGAAAAATTGAGTGATGTGAAGGCTTTTACCATTTCCGTTCACATTGAAAAAAACAATTTTAAGGGGTTGTCTTAAAGGTTTTTAAGTTTCAACACGAACAGATGCCTGTTTCTGTGATGTTGGTTTGTGTGTTTCTGTTTCAGTGGCATCTTGTTCTTTTATTGGTTAATGAGATCTTTTGTATGACGCTTAAAGAAAGGTATGAGGCCATACAAATTGCACCACATTGTTTAAAGATAAAACATTCCGTTGAGAATTTTCCTCCTTTCTTATGAAAAAAGTATCAATATTATAGTGGAAAATTGTTAATTGTTTTCTTTGATAGCTCCGGCAGTAGAAACTTGATTTGACAGAAATCTACTTGGATGCTTGCGTTGGTTTGGTGAACAGGAAAAATATTTGCCCTAGTGATATTTCTTTGAATAATTAAAAAAATAAATTCCTTCTGTCTCAGATCATATACCTGAAGAAAACACCCGAAGAGGCTTACAGGCCCCTGGTGGCTGGCTCAAACCCTCCCTTTCTTCCATTCAGGTAAGGCAGGTTTTGTGAGTTTGTTAGATCATTCATTGCAGTGTTCTTTTGATGAAGTGATTATGTTTTGTTTTTTTACGAACAGTTTATTTTGAAGTAAGATTTAATTGTTTATCCTTTCGTGAATCTTCACTTATATGTTGGGAGATGGGATAAAAGTATATTGCCTAAGATTTTGTGAAATGAGATGTTTAAAATTGTTGTAACTGCAGATTTAGATCTACAAAAACAATACCAAGTGATTTTTGCGGTAAAATGCATGTAGATGAGAGGCGCCAGTTTTATTTTTATTTCTGTTCGTTTGTGATTGTCGTGAACACCTGTAAATGCTTTCAATTTTGAAATATTATGAGCTCGTTCAAAATTGTTTATTTCGGAAAGCTTTCAAGTGCCTTGAAAATATTTAAGATTATGATTGTATTCTTTTGCCTTGTGTGTTGTTGGGGGGTGCTCTGGTATGGTTTGATCTTTCTTTCCTATCAAATATCTATCATCCTTACCTCTCCTCCTTTTTTTGTATTTGTCACTCTCTTGTAACTCCAATAAGCTTCGGCACTTACGTGATCTTAATGTGTTGCAAGTGCTGTAAAACTCTAACTAAAAGTTAATTAATTTCTATGTCCAATTGATGTGTTTCAGAGATGCTTCATTCGGTCCGTGCTCCTACAACCTCACATTACTGGACTGTTTACATGGCTTGAACAAGGTCAGTCGGCATGTTGTCAGCGTGTTGTCAGCGTGCTCAAGAGTCAGTCAATTTGATCAATAGTGTCCTCCTGCCTTTTGCTTCTCAGCAAAATATTTCGCTTACTTTCTTCTTTGCTTCATATTAAGAAATTCTTTTCAGAATTAGACTGATGGATGAAACCCATGTGCACATAGAGAGTGTTCTATGCTGAAGTGGGCTCATACATAAAGAGAGCTGATATCTGTACTTCGTTTTTAAAAATTTTTTCTGGGAGTGAACATTGATTTTAAAAAAAAATGATTTGAGCATGTCTACCAGTGAAAGGAGTTGGGTTAGGGATAATTACAATGTTTGACAGAAGTAACAATTGTCATTTCTGTGTACTGTTTCATGGTCTTTCTCTTAATTGCGTAGAGCAAAAAGAAATGATTCTAAATGCCATCTATGCGCACCTTGGTGTGAAATGTTTTATTTATTCAGTTACTTCTTCTCTCCAACTTTCAGGCTTTGGTGAATGGATATTTCAACTTTGAGACATTTGATGTGGATGAGTATGAGCATTATGAGGTAAGTGGTGGTGTGCTCAAATGTACATTAAAAATTGTTTACTTTTTAGTGATCTGAGGCCGTGGGTTGAACGACTTTATGAATGAATGAGTTGTGTTGCTGACAGGATAGCTAGGAAGTATTTGTTCCATCTCTGCATTTTATGGTTGGAAACAATTTATTGTGTCTGCTGGGTTTTGTCATAAAACACACACTAGTTGACGATTCAACTTGCTAATTGGTCACTTTTAAGGACAAGCGGGCTAACCCAGATTGGGGGGTTTCTAGAAATCTTGGCCTACACCAAAAGTGGGTATTGCCCTACCTACCTATAGGAGATGTTTGGTTTCATGGGTGTGTGTATTTTTGTTTTGTTATAGAGAAAACTCTCTTTCTTTTTTAAAGAAACTAAACAAGGGGCAAAAACTTTACCTTCGATATTCTTAAAACAGCATTTTTCGGGATAGCCCCCTTGTGCTTAAATAATAAAAGCGACCAATTGTGTTATTGTATAATATTGTCCAGTATTGGTAAAGTACAGTGACTTCCATGGTTTTTGCATCTTGTAATGAAACTTATAAAAAAAGTCGATATACATACAGTGATAGTTGCATCATAGACTGAAGGATTGGGAAAAGAGTGTGGAAACAAGTGCAGTTTGGACCCTTATGTTTGTGTTCATTGTGAAAGGTCAATCCCCCCCCCTCCCCCCCCCCCCCCCCCCATCCCATGGTTTGCTTTTGGGATGTAAAAGCTGTTAAAATGTGCCCACTTTTAGCGTGATTTTCCCAGTGGTTTTTTGTCTCTTCATTAATGAGAGATCCTTTGCTTTTGTTTCTTTGTGGAAACAACTTTGCCAGTTGTGCCAAAAACTAATTTGGTGCATCGTGCGTCGTGCATCGTGCATCTTTCTTAGGGAAAGTACTTGCACATCAAGTTAAAAAAGTCTCCGTCGTTACGTTTTGGGCGTTTTGTGGTGAGTCATATTTGGGGAACAGTAAACGGTAGTTAGCGAAGATTACTAAGAATGTTGTGGTGAGTTTTGCTGCCCTGTGCTCCAGTCTGGGATCTTGTAACACAAAGCGAACCTGTCCAGGGGCTGGAGGATTCTCAGGTAGATGTTATTCCCCCCCCCCCCCTGATTTTGAATATATTTCAATTTCTAGCAACCTGGAGAAGAAAGTTCCAACTGTCTTGACTGATGTATTCCACACGACCTTACTTGTAGTTCTGTTCTAGGTGTTCTGAAATGCCCAACTCGGACTATTCTCCAACTTGCGGGGACAGTTACACATAGTGTTTTTGCACAAAGTTCAGCATGTTCTTGCTACTATTGTACTTTGTGTTGTTATGTCATTTGGATTTTTGAAGCATATTTATACTCAATGTATTTTGAATTCTTAAAATAGATCGCTCTGCATATATATATATATATATATATATATATATATATATATATATTAAAATATATCTTTAAAATGTTAATGGTCTTTGAGGTCACTGCCTCCCTGGCGGGAATAAGTTGACGTATTTATAGCAGATTTTAACAGGTAGATTGTGCCTGCTTTAATTTATTTATTATTTTTAAAAATATTTTTTCCCATTGAGTAGGCGTGAGTTTGGATTTGGGCTCTTATTTCCATTAATTTATAAAGACTTTTCAGAAACTGATTGATTGTTACAGAAGATGGACATGCATTGGGGTTTTTTCTACTCTCAATTGCAAATGATGAATTCATTCTCATTTTCATTTGTGTGATGGATATACATAAGAAGACAACATATTGATCACATTTGAATGTGGTAGTGGTATGTCATAAGGTTAGAATGAAATAATGTAAGTTTGTTATTTGTCCAGATTTGAGAAAACTGTATTTTATTGAAAGGCTGTAGAGAGGGGGGCTAAGATGATACAGAATAACTTTGAAAATTGTATATATATAGTGTTGTAGTCCGTTGTGTTGAAACGCACCCACTTACATGCATTTGCTTTGCCTATTTAGGACTTTACAGGGTTGTTGTTTTGTCCCATGCATGAATACGATCCTAATGAACAAACCTACTCCCTGCTGTTTCAGAAAGTTGACCAACAATGATTCATTCACTGTCAATGCACGGTAGTAATAAGCTGTTGCTTCCTCTTGCAGAAAGTAGAAAATGGGGATTTCAACTGGATTTTGCCGAACAAATTCTTGGCCTTTTGCGGACCTCACCCTAAGTCAAAGATAGAAAATGGTAACGTGTGATCCTTACTACTTACCCTCTCCACTCAATACTGTGTTAGCCTGTCCCCACTCTCTGTTGATGTGGGCAGTGATGTTTTCATTCCAATGTCCTGTTCACAAGAGGAGTACTTATTCCTATTGGTCCCCATTTTGTTTTGTAAGATTGATCAAAATTGCCCCTGATTGATGTTACCAAGAATGATTTAAAAAACCAGACCCTAAAGTCAATTTTTAAAGTTCCTGTGACTTCCTCCCGTGAGAGAGGAATATCACTTTGCCTAATTGGACATTGCTCAACTTAATCTCGCTTCTCTTGTGAACATGAATTGTTATGTTTTTGTGACTGTTCGCAGCCATTGTGTTCAAACTCTCACCTATACTTTTTTTGAATATAGGCAGTGGATATAGGGTTTTGGGAAGGGCTTTTTTTTTTGTTGAGTTTTGAATATCAGTTGTGGCGCTCATATGACCTTATGCATTTGCAAGCGCCGTAAAACCTCTACTATTACTAACTGAAGATACAGTTTCAACATGGAAGGTACATGGGGTGAAGAGTTTGACGGCAGGGTCTGTGTTCAGTCCTTGACTACAGCATCCCTTGTAGGTGGTGTTGGGGACACGGCTCACAGTCTTTTTATGCAAACCTGCAGCGTTAACACACCACACGTGTGTGTCCTTGTTGAGACATCTGGATTGTCTCGGGGGGGAATTGTGGTTGGTTTGCATAAAGGAACTGTAGCCGTACCTAACAACAGGTTTCTCTGATAACGGGAAAATATAGTTGTTGTTACAGTAAAACTGACATTGTCTTTTTTCCCTTTCTGCTGTTTTCTCTTGTATTTGCTGACTGCTGGCAGCGGGTTGAGAATGGGGATATGAATTGGATAGTGCCCGAAAAAATGGTGGCTTTCAGCGGGCCTCACGCAGAGACCAAGATTGTTAACGGTAATAATAACGCTGCTGCTTCCACGTAGGTGCCTCCACCCTCTGGTGTTGTATCTGTAGCGTCGTTTTGAGTGTTGCTCTTCTCTCTGCCTGTGCTGGACCTCCTCTGGTAGTGTTTTCTCCTGGACTATAGGACTATAGGACTAGAGTTTCCCCCCCCCGTACAGCCATAGCCTCATGCCTCTTCCATGTTATTATAGTCTATATATTGATGACTTGAACATCTTTCTTCACGCTAGCATTTTTTACTTTTATTTATTTTTTTGGGGGGGGGGAGGTTATTTTATCAGTCTGTACATATCCATACTTATGTGATGGTTTCTTTGGTTTGGCTGCAAAGCTGCTGATAGTTTTGATTGCTTTCCAGTCTGAAGTACCTGGGAATAGATAGTTTGATAATTTAAATGCTAATAAATACAGTTGAACGTGCTCTGATGGCCACCTGTTTAAGACAATCACCTGTACAAACAGCCACTTCCCATTTCCTCCCTGGTGTCTTTTTTACATTTATCATGACACCGTATAGGATGGCCACCTGTCTAACAGGGCCACTTTTCTCCCAAAAAATAATAGGTGGCTGTCTTAGACAATTTGGACCATACTTCAATATCCAGCACTAATGTTCGGCTAAAGCAGTGATAAAGACATTTGGTTAAAAAGGCTGAACAATTTATCTGAGTGTGGATTGTAATGATAATTACCCAATGTGAAGACCGCCTTTTTATTGCCCTTGATTTTATTTCTATGTCGTTTTTCGCTTGCTATTTAAGATACTTAAATTAATTAGTAGTTCTCTTAACACGATGAGGCTTTTATTTTGAGTTGACCATCATCAAATTGTTGATTTGTGCGTCTTCAGAGTTCTGGAATAATGGACTGAAGTTGCCACATCATGGAGCAAGTGTTGTTCTATTATTAGGAACCGGTCACTGTAATACTTTTGAGATGTTACTAAGAATAGAAACATCATTAACGTTAATAATGTTATGAGAGGGATCTCTTACCTGGCTGGCACGTTGGTTTATTTTTGTTGTTGATTGAACTTTGTCACATGTGACATACATACATGGTTTTGACAAGAAGCTGCTCCGTAATTTTGATGTTTTCCTGAAATTGACCAGTAGAAATGAGGAATAATGTCAAATTATAGAGTGGCAAAAAGAAACATTGTGAGGCTTTTGGGATTTTCTTGTCTAGAAAATAGATGTATGTAAGCTTGGTGCTCCTGGTGGGAGGAATAGAAATCTGTAGCTTTGATCAGCCTAACCTTTTGGAGTCCGACTTTCTGCCAGCTTAGAGTGTTGTGGTCATCGTTTGTACAGATATCATTCTTGAAACAGTTTTTTTTATACAATAGAATAAGGGTGTAAGTAAACAAAACAAAAGCATAGTGTTAACAAAATTCCTTGTCTCTCTTTGTTAAAATCTTCTGTGGAAATGTTGAGATATTGTTGCTGTGCCCTTTTGTATTGGGTGACCATTCAGCAAGCTGTCAATTAAATATAAGTCTGATGACTTTTGTACTGCCTAGCCAGTTTCCTATTGCCTTTCTGAAATCTTTTTCTTTGAAAGGGTCACATCTACATAACGTGCTAAATTATTTTTCCGTGTTTAACATGCTAAATTGATTTTCCGTGTTTAACATGCTAAATTGATTTTTGTGTTTGCCGTTTCTCAGAAGTTCCTACCTTACTCTTTTACTTGATATTAATCTCAGCTTTTCTGCTCTTTGGTGGTAGGGATGGAAACTAAGTCAAGGTAGTAGGAGGCCTTATGCATGAATGGTTTGCAAAAATTGTGAAAGTTTTTTGGCCGTTACTGGAGACTTTGATGAAAACTTGTTAGGCCCCCCCCCCCCTTGATAAATTCCCTCATGTATATTTGCTTAAATGTAAGCTTTTTAAGTAAACAGATATTCTGATTTTAAAAAAATTGGTTGAGATGAGGGGTTGAAAAAAATTCATCTGATCTGAAATGTAAAAAAGAAAAAATCAAGAGCCAGAAGTTGCTGTTTTCCTTTCTTGCTCGGGGCCTGTTCCCTTTAGGCAGTATTTCACAAGTATTTGTTTAACTCTTTAGTTGCTCTTTATGAATGTGCTGTCAGAATCATGGCTGCCACCTGTTGTGCACTTTTTTTCTGGTAAAATGTGAGTTGATGCACATTGTAGCGTACTTGGTAGGAGAAATTCTATGGTAGTTATGTCTTACCTACCCGTGTACCTGGTTTCTAGAAAATTTTACATCTCACCAAAGAAATGTTCTGATTTAAATGAGAGCGGTCACTAAGGTTAGCCGGTAGTACTTGATTATATTTCATATACTGTTTATATAAACTTTAAATTTCACTCGGACTTCTAATTTCTAAAGAGGAGAGGACATTTTGGTCGACCTCGGCAAAAAAACCCCGCCATTTCTTCCAGTTACATGAGAATAGAGTGTAGCGTCAGATTTTCCTGGTTGTTTTTTAAGGAAAATAAATGAAAAGATGTGAGATATTCTTTTATCTGTTATACTGCATAGTGATAAGGAAAAAGAGGTGTATTTAATGAAGTGAGAGACTGCCATATGTACCAGTGGTGTATTGTTGTCACTTGTATTTTGTCCCTGTAAAGACTAGTAGTCTGTTTCCACATGGGTGGGGCAGGGGCTGGAAAATATTCACCTCTTTTTTGGTTGTCTTGTCCTCATTTCTGTCTGGTCTTGCTTTTTTGTTGTTTTTTTCAGCAGTTATTGTATTATCTTTGTGCTTGTCTTTGTTGACTGAAATAGAACTGGGTGGTTCTAGAGGGCTGTGAGAGGCCATGTGTTGGTTCTACGTAAAGCTTTGCTTTTTTTTCTTTCTTTTTTTTTTTTCATAATGACATAAAGTATTTGCTTTGGTCCCCTTTTATCTTGAGTGTTCCTTTTAGAGATTTCAATAGTCGTGGGTGGTTGTGGTTTCTGCCAGTCTTTGCCTTTTTCTTGCACGAACTGACTGTTTTCTCGTGTTGATTCGCTTCTCTTTGCTCATCTCAAAACTCTGAGAGTTGTTGTCAATGTTTGTTTTATGGTCCGCAACTGTAAAAGTTTAAATTGTTAATTATTTGTTTGTTCTTTTTGTTCTTTTTAAAATGTTAGGAAGGAACTGTTTGTCTTCCCCAGGCTACCCCCTGCACGCCCCCGAGGCTTACTTCCCCTACTTCCGCAAGCACAGCGTGTCGGCCATTGTGAGGCTGAACAAGAAAATCTACGACGCGCGTCGCTTCACAGACGGTGGCTTCGACCACCACGACCTGTTCTTCATCGACGGGAGCTCCCCCAGTGAATCCATCGTCAAGGCTTTCCTAGATCTTTCAGAGAACACGGAGGGTGCTGTAGCCGTGCACTGCAAAGGTTGGTGGTTTGTAGGCTTGTTTCAGTCTTAAGATACCGCAAAGGAAAAACGGTAATTTGGTCGCTTTTAAGGACAAGCGGACTAACCCAGATTTTGGGGGTTTTCAGAAATCTTGATCTACACCAAAAGTGGACATTGCCCTACCTATAGGAGAAGTTTGGTTTCATTGGTGTGTTTATTTGTTTGGTTATAGAGAAAACTCTCCTTGTCTTTTAAAGAAACTGAACAAGCCTTTGATTTTCTCAAAACAGCATTTTTTAGTATAGCCCCCTTTTGCTTTAAAGCGACCAATTGTAACCTAACTATACATCTTACTTTCTTGACAGGTGGAAATCTGTTTGAACAGAAATTTTCTTGTGGTTTTTTTTTTCTTATACATATTATTCTTTTGACTGTCTATAAGGTAGTATGAAACACTACTAGGGTCTTGAGTCCCATGAATAATGGACTACCATGGCAACAACTCAACTTTTGTACCTTGGTTGTTGGTACATCTTATGTCAAATTTCTCCCGTACTGTTCCATTTTGGATTCCCTTTTTTACTGTGGTCCTGTGTTTGAGTGTAATACTGTATGCTTTTTTGTGAGGGGGGGGGGTTGTCAAATTTGGGCTAAGTAGGCTTATACCTTGTGGCCAGAGGTCAGTGGTCTGTCCCTCAGCTCAGCGTATATGGGACGGGGTGGGTCTGGCAGTGTTGGCCGTGAGCCTTGCTTAAGCTTGGCCTGGGGGGCTTCAGTTGCAGTACCTGTAGTAGTAGTGGTGGTTGTAGTTCATCTGCACCTGGACATGACAAACACTTGTGGAAGTTGACTTGTGTACCTACTTATGGCACTTACCTTGGTGGTTGGTAGGGGCTTGGGGGGGTCTCATTTCTTTCTCACAATATTTTTGAGTATTGGTATCGGGGTGTGGGTGGTTGGCGGGTGCTCTGGTGTGGTTTGCTTGTGCTCCGGTGTGGTTTGCTTCTTCTTTCCTATCAAACGTCTATCGTCTCTATCTCTCCTTCTTTTTCGTGTTTGTTACTCTCTTGTAACACCTCCAATCTTCCTTCAGCACTTATATTATAAAAACCTTATTGTGTTGCAAGTGCCATAAAACTTTACTTTATCCTTCCTCTTGTACCTCCAGGGCGTTGAAGGCTAGCAAGTGTGATGGCCTGGCTGGGTGGGATGTTGTATGTTCTCAGGGTATCCTTCACACCCTGGATCCAGGTCTTTCTTGGTCTTCCTCTTGCCTTGTACCCTGATACTTTCCTGTAGTAGGCTTTACTGGCAAGCTGGTGAGGTGCCATACGTGTGAGATGTCCGAACCACCTGATTGTTTGCCTTCGAATGTAGTAGAAAACAGGTGTTGTTCCCGTCATTTCTCTGATCTTGTTGTTTCTGACCATATCCTGTCTGGTTTTGGTGACACTTACTAAAAAAAGATAAATTAGCATGTGTATAATATGACGGCACCTCTCTCTCTGTCCACAGCTGGTCTTGGCAGGACGGGCACGCTGATCGCCTGCTACCTGATGAAACACTTCAAGTTCTCCGCCGCCGAGGCCATCGCCTGGTGCAGGATCTGCCGGCCCGGCTCCGTCATCGGCCCTCAGCAGAACTTCCTCGAGGAGTGAGTGGCTGTTTCTTTCTTTCTCTCGTGTCCTCTAGGTCATGTTCATCTTTCCGGAGATTTTGGGAAAGTTGGACGTTTGAAAAATGTCCATATATTCTATTTCTTGCTGTGTGGTCTGGGTTTTTTTTCTGATTTGTTGTGTTTTGGAACCAAAAGATGGACTTATTGTTTGATTTGTAAGAAAAGTGTGATTGTGAAGTGTGGTATTTTTGTGGAGAAAATTGTGGATATTTTCTATAACTTAAAAACATTTTTTCTGGTATGTTAAGAATTGAAAATATAATGATAGTGTGTGGAAAAGGTTTAGTTATGCCCCCCCACCCCCCCAAACAAAAGTAACTTAGTTCAAGCAGATTGAAGCTGCCTTGAGGTATGTTAAAAAAGTGATTTTTGATAGAAAATATCTTCCCAACTACTTTTTACATTTGTAAACAGTTCTTTGATAGAAAATGTCTTCCCAACTACTTTTTTTACATTTTTGTAAAGAATTGTTTAATAGAAAATCTTTTGGTGATCCAAGAATGAAAATGATGGTAGCAGTACAAAGCTAGAACTAAAACTATATGTGACACGACGCAGTGGAATCAGGCGCTCGTCAATTTTTGGGCTTGTGGAGTTATTGGTGTCATCAAAAAGCCTTGCTTTCAATGAAATACATATCTATCTATCTTGGATGGAACTGGACATATTTGCGATTGAAGGAAGAGAAGTCTCCTGGTTTCAGTGGTGAAATTAGCGAGAAAATAGCTGCTGAAGTCTGGTGATTCCAATAGCTGAAGAGTCTTTGAAACCGAAAAATGAAATATTTTGTGCCTTTAATCAATGTTTTTCAGTAAAATTCACCTGGAAAGTAAATGTGGTTTCATATTGACATAATAGAGGTTAAGCCAAAAAATAAAAATTTCGATAAAAGTGTCTATACTTGCAGAAAAATGCCTATTTCTCCGATTTTGCTATTTTGACGAGCGCTTGATTTCACCACGCGGCCTCACATATTGTAATGTTTGATGTCTAAGACGTCAGTGATTTGCCTGTATAGAAGTTTTGCGGTTTGTGTTTCAGGAAACAGGCGTGGTTGTGGAACATGGGCGACCGGTACCGGGAGCAGCACGGGAAGCCTCGCAGGGAGCGGCAGAGCTCCGTCTCCAAACTGCTGTCGGGCGTGGACGACATGCGCATCGACGACCCCGTGGAGAACGACGTGCGGTTGAGCAACTTGTACGATAATGTAAGCCGCAAACCTCCTCTACTGCTTTGAGAAAAACCCAGACTTATAAAATTACTGCAGCTATACAACTCCATTGGGAATGAAAGATATATCGTAAAAAGATGTAGATATATATATATATATGAAGGCTACAGGGGGAAAAGGACTGTAGTCACTAACATAAAATCGTGAGGGTACCTATTTTTAACACTTGTTGACTCGTAACTGTATTTCTGTTCAACTTTTTGTTGATTTTTGTTGTTAGATTACCCATTCAACAACACTTAACAACAATAAACCTCCAGTAAAACAAATATGAAATTATGAGTCCATAAGCATTTAAATTTGGCACCCTCACGATTTCCAGTTTGTGACTACTGTCGTTTTCCCCCTGTGCTCTTCATATGCATTTAAGTAGAATTCTTTTTGTGCTTTTGACAATGAGTGGTTTTAGTAGTTTTCTGGTTTCCCACTCACCAAATAGATGGCTTTCTTCGTTATAAAGTCCTGTCTTCACCTGACAGACTTTTAAAACTGCCTTTGATGATTAGTTGACGATGTTAATGAAACACTTTCAGAATTGCCATGGTATTATTTTTGAATTGTCATGGCATTATCTCTGAATGGTCACGTCACACCTTTGATAATTATATTAATGATGTTGATGAACTACTTACAGAATTGCCCGTGATGTTCTTACTGAATGGTCACCAAATGATTTTGGAAAAAGACCATTTTTATGGTGCTACTAAAGTCCTCTTTATGTAATTCTCTAGTAACACCTCTAAACTTTGACCGTGGGTGGTTGGCGGGTGCTCTGGTATGGTTTGCTCCTTCTTTCCTATCAAACATCTATCGTCCTGATCTCTCTTCCTTCTTTTTTATGTTTGTTACTCTCTTGTAACACCTCTAATCTTTGGCACTTATACGACCTTATTGTGTTGCAAGTGCCGTAAAACTCTTACTACAACTAAACTAACGTCCTGTTTGGTTGTGTCGTCCGTCCCCAGCAACTGTACTCCGGCCCCGTGACGCGGAGCAGCGGTGTGGAGACCCAGGGCGACAAACTGAATCAGCTGAAGCTGCTGAGGGGCAAGCACGCTCGCTCGGCCACCACAGGAGCTATCGCGTAAGTAGTCCACGACTTGTGGGACTCTTTGCTTCTCAGGGAAATTGTGACATCGTCCTCATCAATGTCTTTCACCCCTGGCAGGGTACAGGCCACATACAAGCCATCATCAATGCCTTTCACCCCTGGCAGGGTATAGTAATAATAATAGATAACATTTGTATTGCGGAAATCCCCGCTCAACAGCAAGCTCTGTGAGCTTCAGAATCTATGTATAGGCCACATACAAGCTCCCTTCATTTATCTTTGTACTGGGCCGTCCTTCCAAGCTCGTTCCAAGTGAGCTTCATCTGTCTCATGTCCCTTTCCACACATCTCCTCCATGCCTACCCCTGCCTGGTACTCCCTCTGGGGGAAGGGGGGAGGGGGGCACAATTTTTGTATCTGTTGAAAGAGTTGATGGTGTTGATAAAGATGTTTTATTTCTGAGGGCAGAATTTTTGTTTTGTACAAATTCAGGGTTCACACGGGTCTTGGAAAACTGGAAAACTCTTGTTGGAATTTTTGTTTTTATTTTCCAAGAAATGGAGAACTCTTGGAATTTCGGGAAATTGGCAAAATTCTTGGAAAAATCATGGAAAAACAAATTTTTAACTGGATATATTGTAAAAATATTTCCTCGAAGTTTAGAAGGCCTCGACTTTACGCATTCTCAAGTGTAATGTATTTTTGCTTGCTGTACAAAAAATGTTCTTCCAAAATGACACACTATTTGTCTTGGAAAAAAAGAAATCTTGTCTTGAAAAGTCTTGGAAAAGTTTTTGGAAAAAAAACCCATCTCCTGCTGTGTATGAACCGTGGTCATAACAGGGAAATAAATGGTTTTCTCTCTTCCTCCTGCCGTATATGATAGATCTGGCTGGTTGTTTACGCCCCGTATTTGAATCGTATTGGTCTCTAGATTGGTAGTTGAGCAGAGGAAAACAAATAAGTAAGTCTTGGATTTGGAATTCTGTTTTTCGTATTATTTGATTTGATTGCCGCTGAGGTTTTTGGCTCCTTTTATCTTGTTTGAAGCATTTTTTTAAAAGTTGAAACTCGGAAATTTGAGGATTGGTGTTGAAAATGTGGTTAGTACAACTGAAGAGTTACTGTTCTTGCTTGACCTTCGACCTCCCCATGAATGGGTTGTGTTTGGAACTCAATTATTGCCGTGCATCTTTCCTGTGTGGCCCACCCTGTTTGCATTTTGTCGTGTGGTAGTGTGAGCCTTTCGGTTCACAATTGGGTTGTTGGTTTTGTTTCTTGGTTTTTTTCTTTGCGTCACTAAAAGTAATACCTAATTAATTTTCGTTGATTTAGAAAGAAATATATTGTAGACTCTTGTGTGTGTGTGTGTGTGTGTGTGTGTGTGTGTGTGTGTGTGCGTGTGCGTGCTACTAGACAGCCTTGAAGTGCAGATTTTCATCTTAGTATAGTCAAAGGTTGTTGGTGAAATATACGCCATTCCCATAGACAAGTGCACTTTGACAATCTGTGTACGGTTGTAAAGATGTCACCTTCCGAGGTGTTGGTGGGTTTTGTTCTATGTGTCCAGACGTGGTGGAATCAGGAGCTTGTCAAACTCTGGCCGTATGGTGTTATTAGTACCATCGCAAAGTTGGTTCATTTGTCTTTTGATTTAAAAAAATTCCCCTCTATCTTGAATAGAAATCAAAGATATTTTGGATTGAAGGAGGTCAGGGTCGCCTGGTTTCAGAGGCAAAATTAATAAGAAAATGGCTGCCAAAGTTTAGTGATTTCCAAAGCTTGAGAGCCTTTGGAAACTAAATTTACAATTTGCATGCCTTTAATCAAATCTTTTCACTAAAATCCACGCAGCAATGAAATTAAAGAAGCTAGCATTTTTCAATCTATTTGGCAATTTTTATTGAATTTTGGAATTTTTAGCTAAAAAATGCTAGCTTCTTCAATTTCATTATTTTGACGAGCGCCTGATTTCACCAGGTGCCTCACATATGTTTCTCAATCATGCTTTTTTTTTTTTTTTTTTTTTTTTTTTTGAGAACATCCTTGCTCCCTCATTTTGTATGCAAGATACTCTTCAAAATAGTAGCATTCAAGTCATAAGAAATGCCTGCACTTTCAGAATGTCGAACAGTTTGATTATCTAATTAATGTGTTGGTTTTTTTAGAAGAAATTAATTGTTTGCAAATTACTTTAGTTTATGCCCTGTTCCTCATTTTCTGTTCTCTTTTTCGCCCCCCCCAACCCCACTTTTTTTCCCTCCATTTCCTGGTACCCCCTCCCTACCCTCTCCTCCCTCCCTCCCATGCCCACTTGGCCCACATCCATGCCTCTCCGTTCCCCACATTCCCAACCTGTTGAAAAAAAAAATCCTCCCCCACCCCTACCCCTGCCCCCATGGTGCCATGACGTGTGCGACCATCCCCTCGGCACGTGCTCCCCACCCTGATAAACCTGTCCTGACTAACAAATGGACTTGCCCTCTCCTGCCCTCCACTTTATTCCTTCCCCCCTCTCCTCCTCACTTCCCTCTCCCCCCAAATCCCCCTCTCCTAACCCGGACTCCTCACCCTGGCTGTGTGTGTGTGTGCTGCGTGCGTGCCATCATGCCTGCGTGCGTTGACGTGTCTTCTCCACCACTGCACACATGCACGCCGTGTCGTCACCTCCTCCCCGTGCCTACCTGCCTGCGTGCGTGTCACCAACCAACCAACAGTTATGAGGAGGTCAAAGGCCACAAGCGCTCCACGACCCAACCCTCGCGCCAGGTGGGCAGTAAGAGTGCCCAGGGTATCATGTCCCCTCTCAAGTCGTCCAAAGTGACGAGTCACCACGCGGCGGGCTCCAACAACTTGAGCAATACCACGGGCGGCACGCTGGCCGCCAAACGGCATGTGGCGCGCCATGGTGCCCCGACCACCACTGCGACCAGTAAAAGGTGGGTCAGTGCGGGGAAGCCCCGGGCTATCATCTCTGTCATGAACTCCAAATATGTCAGCAGCCTATTGCATCTCTAGTCCTCTTCATTCACGAGTCACCTGTACACCTCATGATGCTTTGAAAGAAAGCATG